GAACACATTTTCCAGAGATGAAAATTGTAATTACTTCCGTCGATTTTTTATTTTAGGTAGTAAAAAGAAGCCACACGAATACCAAATCCGGACCCAAAGGATGGGTAAGTAAGAATGGAGATCAAATGCTTGCGGGTGTGCTGTCCAAAAAGTCCCTTGTTTAGAGCTTAGTCCCCTGCAATCTCCGTTGCTGACGCTGCCATGAATTTAGACATGTTCACCAAGACCTCCGTGCTCGTAGTTCGGCTTGGTGTAAGCAATGGTCTGAGTGTTAACTTCGAGTCCACAGGCGGCCCGCATTTCGGCTTTTATTGTAGTGGCGTTGATTGTTGGGTCACAGGCTGCCAGCAATCTGATGTAGCGTTTCTGAGCACCAGTCAGAACAGTTAGGCGACCACTACGGGTTCAGTCAGCTAAACTATCCATACTGGCACCACAGCAACGCGGCCACGACACAAAACTGGGATATAGCAACTCTGCGTGCTATTTCTCTATTGGAATATCCTTCTTCCCTCAAAGTTACAATTATTGCCCAAAAAACTTCTGATATAATCCTTTTGACACTTTCTAATCATAACTTTTCTCAAAAAAAATGTTAAAACTTCTCAAATTGACAAAGTCAAATTTCTCAGTGAGCGTAAGCTTGTTTTGAATTTACCTTCATTTTACCTTTTTCTGTTTTATGTGAAAACAAATGAATTTGTTTTATTATTTTATATTCTAATTCTATATTTTTAATAAATATTCTGAAAAGAAAAAGAAATTATAATTTAGTCTACCGTAACAAAAATATTTCGGTATTTTAAACTGCCGCAAACTTTTTTTGATGCGTACACTATATACTACTAGACGGGCACTACGGAACTAATACATTGCCCACTAAGTTACGAGTACGGTACGATCTGACACTGATTTTGTTTAATACATAAAAACTCATAAACTCACGCCTATCACCCAGAGGGGTAGGCAGAGACTACAGACTTCCATTTAGCACGATCCTGACACACCTCTCTCGCCTCTTCCACATCCATATACCTACGCATACGTGCTCGTCGGTTAAGGGTACTCTTAATTTGGCCCATTTTTAGTATATCGCCAATTTGGTCGACAAACTTTCGCCTAGGACGTTCCTTTCCGACTCTTCCATTCACTTCTGCAACATATATTTGCTTTGTCAGTCTCTCCTTATTCATTCTTTCTACATGACCAAACCACCGAAGCATTCATTTCTTAATCCTGGTCACCGCATCATCTTGCAAACGACACTCTTCTTTTATCACACAGTTGCTCACCCTGTCACTCAGAATCAGCCCTAACATACTCCTTTGCTAACTACCGCATTTCTACTGCATTTATTCTACTCCTGTGCTAAATTTATCACATGTGGTAGAGCCACGCTGTAGCTAAATTATGGCTGTAGCACTGCTGTAGCTTGGTCGGGAAAGGACCACGATCAGGATTCCCGCGCAAAGTATGCTATATGCTGCTTTTCTCGTTGTTTTAGTGTAAAGGACCAGATATCCTTTTAAACGAGGCATTCCATCTGTCCTGAGGAGTGTATGTTGATGTATTTGGGCCACGGCACACACTTACCATCAGAAGGACTGTCTGCTTGTCTTACTTAAACCATAAAATATTATGAATAGGTAAACATGAGCTTTTGATTACGGACTTATAGATCACAGCGCCAGGCTGACAGGCTTGCCTCGTGACGTGCATGGAGCGTGTTAATCTGAATATACGATTTTGCTACGCCTGCCAAGCAATGCCAATTCTGTTACGACTATAGAGATCCAGTGGTCTTTAGCGAACTGTTGAAGAAGAAAAGAAAAAGAAGAATCGTTTTACAAGAGGTTTCGCCTTATTTATATTCTACATTTTGTTAAGATCACATTCGATATTGTGTTTAGTATGTCTATGGGTTATAAACTTCATTTAAAACTAAAAGTATTAAAATAGCTCTATTCCGTTGTGTCACTGAAGTTTTTAATTTTGTACAGATAAAATAAGTATATGCAAAACCATAAGTGCACGAAAAAATAAAATTGCTTGTTTCAAAAGGAATTTTAAATTGAAAAATGCAAAAGAATTTAAAACTACGGTTGAAACAAGCAGCTTCAATACAACGAACATATTGAATTCAAATTGTTTAGATGGAAGGATTTGGTGTTAAAGATTTTTTTTATTTCGGTCTTTATCGGAACATTATTATCAGGAATAATATTGTCCAAAATTATCGTAAAACTTTTTTTGCATAGAATTGTATTATAGAACAAAATCATAAATTCACCACCTACTAATCACACCGCTAGATATGCCTTTCAAGCTGAAGAAATGAATCATCATTATCATTATTATAGCCCTTCACAAGTCCACTGCTGAACTTAGGGTACCCCAAGGAATGCCGAAAAACATTGTATTGAGCCACCTACATCCTTCGACTTCCCGCATATCTTACCAGGTCGTTACTCTATATAGTGGGTCCACACTTTGCTTACCGATACGAGGTTGCCACTCGAGAACCTTTCTTCCCGATTGGTTCTCGGTTCTTTAAACTAATGGCCAGCCCATTGCTACTTTAGCTTACTAATCCGTTTGACTATGTCGTTTACTCTGGTTCTACTGCGGATATCCTCACTTTTATGTTTATCACGCAGCGAAATGGAGCCGTGGTAGCTCAGATGGTTAACGCTCGTTGTAAATATAAAAGAACGCTTGTAACCCGGATTCGATCCCCGCCGGCACCAATTAAATTGTTAATTGCAATTTTAAGTGATAGTTTACCACGTGCTCGGCCGTGAAGGTAAACATCGTGAGGAATAAGAAAAAAATATTTCGAAGACCTGTGAAGTTCGCCAACACGCATCAGAGCAGCGCGGAATACACTTCCTTAAAATCCTCTCAGAAATGAGGGGAGGCCTGTGCCCAGCAGTGGGACGTATATAGGCTGTCACTTTACCTTTTTTTTACGCAGCGGAACCCCAAGCCCTCTCCATAGCTCGCTGAGCGACCTTGAGCTTCTTCATACGTCTAGTAGTGAAAGACCACGTCTCAGATCCATAAATCATCACTAGCAACTCGCACTGGTTGTATAATCTTCTTTTCAAGTTTTGAGATACCCTATACCTGACAAGAAAATGTGTCGTAATCTCTCGATCGCTATCCAGCAGAGTTGTATCCGTCGATTAACATCTCGGTCTTAGTTGTACTTACCTAGCCGGACTCTTTGTCATAGATGAACATACTCGTAGACAATTTTAAAAAGCGGGCCTTGAGGTCACTTCTTGATGACTTTAGACCTAAAATCCCTAGATTTAGATGCGGCTGCACTTGGTGCGAGCTAAATCGGCAAACTTACCTCTGTTTACTAACCCTTCCATTATTGACTGAACTTGTAGCTTACTGACTATGTTGTTTTAATTAAATTTTTTGTCAAAGAAGAAGTCTATATTTCTTTATCACTTGGTTCTTTAAATTGCTATATTGTTTATGAGTTTACTGCGTGTAGTCTACGCTACCTGACAGGATCTGGTAGTGTTTTTATTGTTCTCGTGTCTTCGATACCTTTCTTTTGATAAGGCTTATTCTCGATATTATTCTTCCAGCATTAAAGCATTAAAGTGTAAAAGTCACAATATAGTGGGGTTAATAGTTTAGTAGGTAGTTTTCAGCATTAAAGTTATAACGGGTACAAGTACTCGATATAATTTTCAACTTAATACTTTATAGGGAAATATCACAGGCAATAAAGGTACCAACCAAAAAGTTTAGATACCAACTTAAAATATTTTTAAAAAAAACTGCTGTTGACTTACCAAGCTTGGCAACTATAAAAATACATTTTAGATTTTTTATTTTAGATTACTCGCTTTATAAGGAAAACTATGCGACCTTTAATAGCGTGTAATGATTAATTATGGAACTAATAAATAATGTATGCATGGAAATCTGAAGGAAATAAAATAAAATAGTGTTGCAACTTAAAAGTTCTCTACTATTCATTTTACTCCTTACAATCAACAATCATAAGTACAGTGAGCACTCCGCTTTAGATTGTCAATGCTCTATTGTAGTAAACTTATTATTTGAACGTCAATGGCACTACGAGTTTCTCATAAAAACCTCAGAAAGCTGAGCATATGGTTATATCATTGAATTTAAACCTAAGTTCTGTGAAGCATTTTATTACAGTGATAATATTGCCATGACAGTATAAAGTATATACAGTCGTATTTAAGGAAATAGACATACGGCGTCTTGCCTGCAATGAAGTGGAACATTAATAAACTGATTTTTTTGTTGAAAATATAACTAACAAGGATATGATGTTAAAATTTGATAACGAATTTAAAATTAGTATGCTTGCTTTACGTTGTAATCAGGCTCATCCAAGTATATCTCGCGATAAAAAATGGGTTGCAAAATTTATTTTTATAATTATTGCATCTAGTGTTTGCTTCTTTTTTCTTGCTTATTCAATCATATTTAATGATATTCGTGATGCAAGATATACTGAAGCCATTAAAAATGGATCGATGTCAATCGTGTATTTAATTATTACTTTTAAATATTTTGTACTCCTCCGACATCAAAGTTCAATTAAGAAATTAATTAAAATTATTAACGACGATTATTCAACGATTGATCAATTCACACAGAATGAAAAGAAAATAATTTTAGAATATTCAAAAAAGGGAAAAAATGTTTGCAAATTTTGGCTTTTAGCGGCATTTTCTACTGGTGTTTTGTTTCCCTTGAAAGCTCTGTATTTTATGGCTCTTTCTTATATGCACGGGGAATTTAAACTTGTTCCAATGTTTGATATGGCATATCCAAAAATTATAGACATGTGTAAAGATTCCATAAATGTATTTTTGTTGTTATTTTTTCTTTGTTTGTTTTTTGACCTTTATGCATCCACGATGTACATTGGATTTGATCCTTTGGTTTCTATATTTCTGTTACACAGCTGTGGGCAAATAGACATTTTAAGTCGTCGTATGCAGAAACTGATATCTACGGAAAGAAATGAAAAAGAAATAAATAAAAATTTAAGGGATATTAACAAAAAGCTACAAGCTGTGTATAGGTACAAAAACTTTGATATCTTTACAAAGACTTTTGTATACTTTTTTGTCAATTGAACCAAAAAATGTATTAAAATACATAAATTTTTAAACAAATTGCAGATTTGTTAGTTCTGTACAATCGACTTTCATGGAACTCTTTGAATTCAATATGAAAGCTACAACATTTTTATTACCCTTTTCTGCATTTCAAATAGTTCAAGTAAGTATTATATATACCCTTTGCATATAATATTTTTGAGGTGTTATTAGGAGTTTATTTAACATGGTAATAACATTATTAATGATTGACTTATTTTCAGTCTCTTCGAAATTTAGAACTCAACATGGAGTTTATTTGTTTCTTCTCAGGCAGTATTTTACACTTCTTTATGCCTTGTTATTGCAGTAATCTTTTAATGGATAAGGTATATTTTCTCCATAAATTGGTTAAGGATACATATGCTAAGTATACAGTGATACATAACAATCGCATAATATTTTAACCAATTAAGGTTGAACGGGAACTAACAATTTAACGCGAACAAAAAACCTCAAAAAACTGTGCATTAAGATAAATGTCACCCTAGCAGTTAAAAAGATTTCTTGTTTATATATGGTATATAGTATATAAGTGTTAAACTGGTGGACAGCCTTGAATAAATTCATTTTGCTTAGAACTTACGTTCGTAGTAATGTTAAATTTTTAAAATTCTCTCTAATAGTCAGTATTAATTAAGTTATAAATGTTTTTGTTTGATTACATTATTTTTTATATTTTGCGATTGATTGTAGTAACTTTTCTGTTTTGTAATTATTTGTATTTCTAGTTTAGGTAGTGGTGCATATTATTACATAGTTTTTAAAAGCGTTACTGTGTGTGAAAAACTGATCTTAGTTTTTTGAGATTACTTACTGTGTTATTGCACCTAATTTTGTTGGAATAAATAAAGCAAGAAATGCAGTATATGACGCAGTTTATGCGAGGAAAATAAAGCATATTGTTATCTTATTATTCATTTTGTATTAGGGCAACAGTCTGCGAGAAGAAATTTACTCATGCGGTTGGGAAAATCAACCAAATATTAAAATAAGGAAAACCTTGTTGTTTATGTTAACCAGATGCAATATACCTCTCAGTATTAGAACTATATTCTATCCAATTAACCTTGGGACATTTGCAGAGGTAAGACGTTGATTTTTAAATCAATTTCGACTAAGAATATACCCCTCTATTTTTATGGATACGATATGAACTCCGTTGCAATATCCTTCATAGAAGTGGAGGTAAACGAGCATGTGGCTCATCTGATGGTAAGTGTCTGATAAGAGTTGCAGGTGCTTTCCTAACCTTTAGGCTTAGTGGGCTTTTGATGCTACTTTTCGTCGCCGATATGTTTACTATATACTTGACTGTTAACAAAAGTTGTAAACAAGACGCTAATCCGCGATTCCCAGAACTCAAGGAACGTTTCTTTTATTGTTACGATTACACAGATGCAACGAAAAACTATTTTGTTAAATATTCGTTCGGTAACTAAAAATAACGTAAAACTGACAAGAATTATCTATTCGTACGTTTTTAAACCAGTATTTTCACTATTTTAATAATAGTTATTTTTAATTAGTATCATGCAATAATTGCATTTTAAGGGGAAATATAACCTCAAATGGCTTAGCAAGATCCTCCGTTATGCCGAAAGTATTGCAGCATTAATTTTGAAATAAATATATGGTAAAGTTGAGGATTAATGTTAAGGTTTATGTTAGACGAAAACACGATTCTGTAAAATTTTCTCGATAGAAAAAAAATCCAAAATTACCTCCAAACTGAACAATAAACCGCTGTTATTCATAAAATACTTTAAATAAGATCATGAAACTTTGCATACTAACTGAACTAACCATAAAGCAGTGCTTATGTTATTTACTTTTTTTAAAATATCATTATTTTCACTGTAAAAAAGAAATTACCTAAACTATCGGCGCGTAAGCTTGGTTCCTGCGGAGCAACAGGCTTTTCTTTCTTAAGAATGGCTCGTAATTGAAAACGAAATATTCTTAAATGTAAAACAAGTATTATACTTTATCTTTCAGTAGCTACACGGTTTTTATCAAAAACTGACGGATGTGACGATAAAACAGTATCCACCACGAATTCTCTTTTGCCTTAAACATATGACTTATATGTTTATCTATAAAAGAAAAATCTAAACTTTTGCTTAATTTGGCACAAAAAATGATTTTTTTTTCAGATGTGTCGTCAAGCTTACACGATATTCAGTATAATGAATGCGGCCTGGTCATAAAATATCAAGCCTTATTTGTAATAAATATTTAATTATCATAACGTATTAAAATGTTGTAAAACCTAGATTAAAAAAATGTTTTCGTTTAATATTAAAATTTACTAGCAATAAAAATGTAATAAAGTTTTATTTAAATACATTAAGTCGGTTTTATTCATTTTTCAACATTTATAATTCACTCGTTTATAACAGTGGCGCGTAGCAGGACAGATTTCATCGTGTTGCCTTAAGTTTTTTCGCCGAAGTTAACATGCCCTAGATTTGTTAGATTTTTGGACATGCAATCCACTTTTTTATACAGAATAAAGTTGACAAACGAGCATACAGTCCACTTCATGGTAAGTTTATACCATGGCCCATCGACATCTATATTTATCTTAGATTAAAAATCAATATGTACATATCTACCCGTAAGGACTAAGATGGAATGCCTCGTATCCAGTAAATGGGTCTCAGGTTTTATACACTCACCATACGAAACACAGCAGCATTTTACGCTGGTATTCTGGGAGAACGTGATCCTTCCCCTGTCAAGTCGACCCAATCGTGCTACAACTATAATACAGCTGCCGCATGGCTATACCAGGTGAAAAATACTTGTTTACTTGAGTAAAACATTTCTAATATATTTAAATATGCAGGTTTCCTTACAATTATTTTATTGGCTTCTTATTATGCGGCAAATCAATACATTAAATCACGATTAATATTGCCACAAATTGAACTCAAATAGTAGAAAATCCATCACCTTATTTTGTGCCGTAGTTGTCCTAAGAAGCGACTATGAATTGCGGGAATGTCAGAAAGATTTTATTACTTCAATTAAATAGCAGTATAACTATTTCGTTCAAGAAAATAAATTATCAGTTCAGTGAGTTTGCGCAACGAATATTTGCAATGTAATATAATAAGTACCCGGTTGACCGAGCTTTGCTCGGTATTTTTCGCTCGGTTTTTTTTTAATTCGTGTGTTTTGGAAACTATATTTAGATACAAATTACATACTGATGAAATACTAATAATATTTTTTGATCGTAGCGACATAATAGAAAAAACTGAACTGAATAAAAAATCATGAGTGCAATTAGTTTAATTTAAATTTTCCAGTTTTTAAAAAATACTAAAAAAAGGGCACGAAAAAATAGATTTTCTCAAAAAAGAAAGGAACTTGAAAAAAAAATTAAAAAAAGTCGGTCGGTTTGGGCTCGAACCACGGTATTACGATTTTGTGACCGCCCAATATACCAATTAAGCTATTTGTAATCGTTAATAAGTCGTCAATATTTACCTTCTTATTCTAACGATATTGTACCAGTTTTTCATTGCCTAAAAACAAGGACAAAAAGACATTTTCTAAAAATAAATCCTAGCTAGATCGATTTATTGCCCCCGAAACTCCCTGCACACAAAATTTTATGAAAATCGTTGGAGCCGTTTCCGAGTTTTATATATATATATATATATATATATATATATATATATATATATATATATATATATATATATATACAAGATTTGCTCGTTTAAAAGTATAGGATAATCATCACTTGATTTAAAAAGCAATTTAATTGATCGTTCACAAAATAGCCAATCCTATTTTCTTTATATTTTTGATATTTTATATTCACACAGCAGTGGCACATGCATAGGCGTGTGAAGCGACTTTATAGATTTTATATGGTAAAGCCACGCTGTAGCTATATTTGTTTACAGCACGAATAGGTCAGCTTGACTGGAGTAGGACTACGCTCTCACAGAATACCAGCGTAAAATAGCTGCTTAATGCTGCTGTGTATGGTGACAGAACCGGAGATCACTTTTACTGGAACCGAGGCATTCCATATTAGTCCTCACAGATGACAAAACATCAGCATTTTGATTCTTAAACTGACTGTGTGCTTGTTTGTCTCCGTTATCCTTTAAAAAAATCGAGTGTCTTGTAAATAACTTTTTAATTTTCCACGATTGTTTTTACTTGCAAATTCGTAGCAAATGAATATAAAATGTAATCAGTTAAAAAGAGACATTGGCAAAGATAGAACTGGATTTGCTCACTAAAATCATTAAATTGATATCATAAATTTATAGTAGGTTTGACTTAATTAAGGTATGAGTTAGAAACGTCAATAGTATTTGAACCACGAAAAGTAGGCAGCTACTTCAAAAGAAAATGATTAGACGATTTTACTTGTTCGCTCGGGTAGACACATTTCTATCTCAAACAACGCAACTTGTTAAATGTTTGAAATAAACTTGACGATATATCTTTAACTTCTAATGTGTAACTTTTTATTTTATTTTATAGAATAAAAATGACAAACGAGTACACAGTCCACCTGATCGTAAATAGATGCTGTAGCCACTATCCTATAAACATAAACCGTAAATCACGTTGTAAAATATTTTCGAACGCTGTCGATGAATAATTCAAGCACAAATTAATGTACTGTGTGTAATTACAAATTTCTGTAGACCGGTGTAATCTCTAAGAAAATTATATTTAATTTTCTCACGCTGAGTACCAACATATGATGTCAGATATATATTGTGTATCGTCACAATTAATTTTATTTAATACAATACAGTATTTTAGAGACCTGTGTTCAGCGGTGAACAGATAAGGGCCGAAAAATACCAATGACTTCTATAAACAGAAATAAAGCAATTGAGAAAATATTACTGGAATTGCTAACTAAAGAAAACGTACATATATATTTTAAAGAAAACTCTTACAGCAGGGATATGTGAGAGATAGAAGAAATGTTCTCAATAAAATGTGAAACGTAACGAGCTCTAGGAAACAAGGCACTTGACTTGCATCAAATTACACAAATCTAATAACTTTTTAAGATTGTATTGCCCAGCTTACTTAGCTATAGGTATGTCAAATTAGCTATTGGTTTCATCAGTTATCTTTTGAGGCCGTTGTTGGACATGACCGTCTCCTATTGTAGGGGCATTTTCGATTGATAACTTCAAGCGTAAGATACGAATCCGAGGAAAGAATTTAAAATGTAATGATTCTGTGGCTATATTGGTCCTTGCATAAGCGAAGAAACACTTTGTTTTGCAAGCAATAAAAATATACGCAGTGTGAATCAAGTTGTCTCGATTTTACCTTTTTTGTTTAAAAAAATGCATTAATTTTGTTTTAAAAGTTAAAACAAAGCATGCTTGCTATAGAGCCTTACCCTTTTGTAAGTCGTGTTCTTATTTACATTAGATTGGGCTCCAATTTGTGTTTAAATATTGTTTACATAGGTTATAAGAAATAACTCGAGAAAATCGAATTATACAGCATTAAATAAACCGATAATAGAAATATTTGATGAGAGATATCAAGATTTTCATGCCATTTCACTCCTGTTCCAATTTCTTTTACTTTAAATATTTATTAGGTACTCATTTCTTCAAAAAAAGGTACTTGATTATTAATTTAATCTCTTATAAATGCCTATTCATTTATTTCTAAGATAAAAACACGAGTATTCAAAAGTAATTATCGACAGTAAAATGGCCAAATTTTCGAATTTAATAAACTGTTATAATGTTTATATTCCCGACCTTGAGAAAATGTTCGATGAGCTAAATAAATGTGATGTCTTCTATTCTACAAATTAAGGCAATTTGTGGTATTGGCCTAAATATAAAAAAATTATAAAATTTTAAATGTTACGAGAGTGATACCCGAAGAAACCTAATAGAATTTCAAACTGCTCGTATTTGCTTTTTACGAAATACATTTAAAGTAAAAGTCTAATACAATATACGAATTTAAGGGCTCAACAAACTTTTGCTACAAAAGCATCGACAATAACGCACATCTGGCACACAGAAAAAGAAATAGTAGATAATTGTAAAATCTTTGTTTCATGGCTTTAACTTTTTCGTATTAAAAAGTATTAAACAACATCATTCATATTCGTGTTTGTGCGGTATACCTTTAATTAATAATCAATTATAAAAATATTTCAGAAATTTAAACTAAAGTTTTTTATTCACTCAAAATATAAAACATGAAAAAGTAATTGGCGCAAGAAAACGATTTTTTAAAATCTATCTCCTCCGTAACCCTTAGGCCAATTTTCATATTTTTTTCTGCAATATTTGTAGCTGAACGCAGACAAGGTTTGTAAATTATAAAGATCTGAAATTGATTTTTTCTTTTCTTTTACTATCTAATCAATTCGCTAATTTACATCTGCGCTAGGTTACACCATTTGATTGAATCTTTTGTTGAAATAAAGATAGTTATGACTTTAGACTTTCACTCCGCTCCATATGATGCTAGCAAATGGTTTTAACTTTACATCTGCATCCCCCTAGTTAAAGCGTTGTTAATAATACAAGTCTTAATCATAATTACCAATACCAGTTGTTTATTTTTTTAAATTAAAGTGGGATAACAAGAGTATTCATTCTGTGATATATATTATATATAATATTCATTCACTTTTTTTAATTTATCTAGAATCAGGAGTAAGAAAAAAGAATAAACAAAACTCATTAATGATCATTAACTATACCTATTTTAATTAGTTTGTCATGGCTAACCTAGGAAAATATTTAGGTCTATTATAAATATATTATCAACATATATAATTTAAGGTAATTTCATATATAAATAAATAAGTATGTTAAATACTTTTTGTGTCAAGTAGCGAATAAAATTATCTTAACTGAGATGCTACTACGGATTTATAAAACTACAAATTAATGCTACCAATATAAAATATAGAGTTAAACAACACAAGACAACAGAATTGACAAAAACTGTAATACCTTTAGTTTAAATGTATTTTTTAGATGAACAAACGGGTTCTCATGCTAGAATTTACTATTAAAAGTTTTATCCATTTCGGTGACCAAACAATTCTTGCCATAATTAGTATAATGTAAGGAAGCATTGTATATAAGTTTGTATGTTTAGTATCAAGTCAAGGCACTTTATCGGAGATTTGTGCAAGCAAAACAAGGCAATCTAGTTGATCGCGTAAAAT